TACTATCACAACAGAACATACTTTGCAGTTTAGAGTGATTTGATATATCACGGAAAGTAAAGTAAAAGATGCCCTCAAATAATCTCATATTTTATTAAAAAAAAAGTGAAAATCAATATTTTATTATCCGATGTTTTCTGGTATTAAGATCTGATATTATTTATTAAGAGACCATCCTATCTTTAACAGACTTATTTTCAACATTGCAAACCTACAAGATCACGTACGTATAATATGAAGTTTCATTTTACACAGTAACTCTTAGTGAAAATAGTAAGATTGTCTAGATGCAATTAGTTAAGTGTCATATTCAAACTATAGGTTCTGGGGAAGTAACAAATATTTCTGTGCAATATAAGTGTCAGTATTACAAGAAAAAAATTTCCCACCAGAGGTACACCTGAAGGGACAGCTAACCTGATTCGGAATCACTGCTACTACTCTCAGATTCTGAGGAGCTGCTGCTGCTGCTGCTGCTGCTGCTGCTGCTGCTGCTGCTGCTTTTGCTGCTGCTGCTGCTGCTGCTGCTTTTGCTGCTGCTGCTGCTGCTGCTCTCACTCAATCGGGAACCACTTCCAGCGGCTTTGGATGATTGCATTTTCTCAGCTACAAAATAGGGAAACAATAAAATGCCAGTACAATTAAATAGTCACGGGAACGTTTAAAAACTGCCACCTACATTTTGTTAGACGTTTTCTAGAATTTAGCTGATTACTGATGGCTAGTAATTGCTTTTCCAACTCCTGTTTTTTCTGTGAATGAAGTTCTTCTTTGGACTTCATGATTTTCTTAGCTGTGTAATTTAGAAGGGAAAAAAGTGAGTATAACCAAAAATTAACACACATACCAGACTAGTTTCTATCGACATAGAGATACATACTATGAGGTTTTAGTGGTCTTTTTCTTAGACATGCCACAACATATTTTTCTAGTTCTCTTAGTGTTGATGCTTTCAGTGTTTCAAAATCTATCTCTATCTCATCAGGATTGGAGTTTCTCAGTGAAGGCTCTCTTGATTGTATTATATGAACTACTCGCCCAAGTTTATCTCCAGGGAGTTTGTTTATATCCAAACTTAATTTCCTTTTCTCATCATAGTTCATAGGTTTAGCATTATCATCATCTTCAAATTTCAGAGCCAAGAGCTGTTGTTTCCTTTTCTTTGGTTGACTGTAACAAAAATTAAATTTAGTCAAATTTATGATAGATGTTATTATTTTAATAAGCCATCATAAAAAGATACTTACTTGCTCTTGGACTTTTCCTTTAATTTCATTTGCTTAAACTTTTTCCTTGGATTTTCATCTTTGCTATTAACTTTTTTTTTCTTTTCCCTTTTAGACTTTTCATTTTTTTTCTTTAGCTTACGGAAAGGTACTTGGGACAGAACCTGTAGCTGTTGATGAACAGCCTTAAGCTGATACAAGAAAAAAAAATCTTTAAGCATTCATGGCTCTAAATAATTAAAGAAACTAGAAAAAAATTAGGGTACTCCAAAGTCAAGAGTATCCTTTGTGAAATTCATTTCATATTACATTTCTTTCAAGTTATTTCATATTACAAATTCATTGTTTGGAGGGGAATACATTAAACTACAAACATTATCATGTGTTCAACCCCAAAACTTAAATATTCATCTAAAACCAAACCAGGAATAATTAACATTTAAAGGTGGTTTAAGTTCCAGGTGGTCTTAATTATTGATTTTTGGGGGTTGAGCTCAGAGACAGTTAGCATTTTATCACAAAAGGTAGCAAATGTTTTTTTTTTTTTTTTCCTTTTTGTCTTTTTTTTTTACTGACCGGTAACGGGATCGCAA